AGAGGCCAGGACACGCCGCGAGGTGGGGTGGTAGAACTGCCAACCAGGCGCGTCCGGGACAAAGCCAAGGAAGACGCAGGGGACAGCGCGACGGGAGAGCTTGTCCGCGGACGTGTCGCGGACAAAAGTTCGGGATCCCCAGACCCGAAAACGCGACGCATCGCCAGCCTCTCCCGTCCAACGCAGTGTCGGAGAAGTCTCGGGCAAGGAGACACGGGGCCAGAGGTTGAGCTGATGCGCAGCGTATCGGATTGCAAACGGCCACAGAAAATGGGGGGCAGCCGCATGGCTCAAGGAGGTACGAGCGACCTCCATGACCAGACCAATGCGGCGCTCAGCAACCCCATTCTGCTGTGGAGAGTCCGGAAGCGTGTACGACTGCTCAATGCCCTCCTGCTGACAGAAGGCCTCCAATAGGCCAGAGGAGAACTCCCCACCTCTGTCAGAGTGCAGACGCAGGACAGGGAAGTCGGAGCGGAAACGCTCACGGAGCTGGAGACGAGATCTGCGGATCCAAGGGATCAAGACATCAGGGACGTCACCCTTGGCGCGCAAGGGGAAGACCGTGGTGTAGCGCGAGAAGTCGTCAACAACAATCAGGAAGTACCTCTCCTGACCCTGACCACGGACGCGGGCTGGGCCCCACACGTCCATGTGGAGCGTCTGCAAGGGAGCAGTCGTTGGGGGAAAGGAGGAGGAGTGAGGAGCGGCGCGCTGCCGTCCCTCGACACAGGGAATACAGGGAGGAGCAGGCGAGTCGGGAAGGGGAGGGAGCACCCTGGGAAGACCAGCAACAAGGTCCCGCTGGTGCATGGCCCGAAGGCGCTGCACAGACGGGTGACCAAGGCGGTGGTGCCAAAGGACAGTCTCATGCCCCAGAGAGCGACACGAGCAGGGGGCGGACAGCTGACCTGACGCAGACGCAGACGCAGACGCAGACGCAGCTACCTGAGGGGACACAGTGGTCAGTGTGTAAAGGTCCGACCCCGGCTCCCGAGTGAAGGTAGCCAGGTGGCGACCCGTCCGAGCACACGTGCAGTGTGTCACGCGCTCGTAGGCAGGGGTGAACTGGTGAACACCCCCGTCCTGGAGCGCACTACCTGCCACCAAGTTCGTCGAGAACGAGGGGAGGTAGAGACCGGACAGCGTGCCGGACGGGACCGCCGGACAAGGAAGGACAGTGGAGGAGGTCGCAATGACCGGACCCCCAGAGGGGTCAGCAAGGGAGACAGCAACTGGCCGAGCGAGGGGCTCAAGGACAGTGCGGTCACGAAAGAAAGAGCGAGAAGCACCTGAGTCCAGTGTGAAGGTGTGCAGTGCTGCAGTCGACTCAGTACCAGGGGGCACAGACGCACTAGCACCTAGGGCAGCAGCCTCACCAGGACCTGCGGGAGCGGACGCACTAGCACCTAGGGCGGCAGCCGGACTGGCCTGAATGCCCGGGTCGGGCGGAACACGCAAGTACTGAGCACCCTCTCCACTAATAGACATCGCATACATGGCAGTGAGAATAGCATCAAAGTCTAAAGCCCAAATATCAACACCCCTCTTTTCCAGCTCAGCCCAGCGCGGCAGCTCAGTGGCAGTAGGAAACTGGGTGCGCCACGCGTCGGTAAGGCGGGCGAAGCAGCGCTGCGTGGGGTGCAGCCTCCCACACTGCTGGCCGGTGCGGTCACCTGTGCGAATGACGTACGTGCAGGTAAAGCCACGCTGCGCATACCACTCACGGGCGGCCTGAAGCGTCGGGGCGGGCTGCTGACTCTGCCCTCCGCCAGTGCCCCCACGACCACCACCCCCTCCGCCTCCGCCCCGGCCACCTCCACCCCTGCCGCCACCACGACCACCTCCGCCTCCGCTGCCGCCTCCGCCCCTGCCACCACTCCCGCCGCTGCTGTCGCCTCCCCCACTACCGCCACTAGCCTCCTCAGCCGCGCCTCCACTCCCACCGCCTCCACCCCCACCTCCTCCGCCGCCACCCCCGCCCCTGTTCCCTTTGCCCCTGCGGCGCCCGCTCGAAGCAGACGCGGTCCCGACCTTCTCAGCACCAAGGAGGTCGACAGCAGCAGCAGAGGCGACAGAGGGGAGGAGGGGGGAAGGGGAACACCCCTCGAAGAACGGGGTGCGGGGGTCGCCACGAGAGGTGCCTACAGCGACGATGCTCGCCTCAGCTGCAAGCAGTTCCTTCTCGAGGAGGGCAACAGTGAGCTCAGTGGGGGAGCGAGAGAGGAAGTGGTCCCTGACTGCGCGCAGAGAGTCAGGGAGGCGGGTGACGATGTGGTAGAGAGTGATCCAGAGCGGGGGGGGGTTGCTAGTGAGAAACTCGGCAGGCATAGCAGCGCGAAAGCGGGCCTCACTAGTCTTAAGGTGGGTGATGAGGTCTGCGACAGTGTGAAAGGAGGCTAGGTCGGGGAACAGGTAGGGAAGAGTGAGGCGGCCTAGCGTAGCAGAAGCGGGTGAGGAGTAACGGGCAACTACAGCGGTGTAGAGGTCCCTAGCAGTCTTGCACTGGCCAAAGTGCTCGCGCTCATCTAACGGCAGGGAGTTGCGGATGGCAAAGCGAGCGTGGGCGTCACGAGTCTGCCACTGGGAGCGGGTAGTGCTGTCAGCATCAGTAGCAGGGGCAGGAGCATGGCCGAGGGCGTGGTCATACAGTGAGATGTCCTCCTTGGCAGTGAGCTGTAGGAAAAGGTGCAGGTCATCGAGCCAGGTGTCAAACTTCACTGGGCGGCCCTCAGCATCGAAAGCAAGTACGGGAGGACTGGCCATAGTGGTAGCAGTAGGAGTAGCAGTAGGATCAACAGGGCTGCTAGAACGGTCAACGCGGCTCGGTAGGGCGGCGCGGCTCAGTTCAGGTAGGGCGGCGCGGCTCAGTTCGGGCTGCGCGGCTGCGCGAAGCCGCTAAGAGGGGCGGGACTGGGTCGCGGGGGCCTCTAAGCGGGGCTCGACGGGGCCGTGGGGCCGCTAAGCGGGGCGCGCGCGGGGTCGAGGGACCGTGTGGTGGCGGACGACGGGGCCGCGGGACCTCTAAGCGGGCGCGCACGGGGTCGACGGGGCCAGGGGGGCCTCTAAGCGGGGCACGCGTGGGGTCGACGGGGCCAAACGGGGCCGTAAGCGGGGCGCGCGCGGGTCGACGGGGCCAAACGGGGCCACTAAGCGGGGCGCGAAGGGGTCGACGGGGCCAAACGGGGCCGTAAGCGGGGCGCGCGCGGGTCGACGGGGCCAAACGGGGCCGTAAGCGGGGCGCGCGTAGGTCGACGGGGCCAAACGGGGCCTCTAAGCGGGGTGCGGGCGGGTCGACGGGGCCAAACGGGGCCGTAAGCGGGGCGCGCGCGGGTCGACGGGGCTAAGCGGGGCCACTAAGCGGGCCGCGGGCGGGTCGACGGGGCCAAACGGGGCCTTAAGCGGGGCGCGCACGGGTCGACGGGGCCTCTAAGGCGCGACGCGCGAGTCACTAAGGGGCGGCGCGCGGGGTCGACGGGGCCTTAAGGGGCCGTACACGAGGGCGCACGAGGGCGCTGAGGGGGAGGCGCTAACGCGACGCTCCGACAGTAGATAGGTAGGTAGGTAGTCAGTGGTGGGCCCTAAGAACGGTCCTAGCGAAGGACCTGCTCTGAAACCATGTCAGAAAGAAGAGACTGGAATGATTGAACTAACAGAGAAATCAGTACAAATAGCAAACCCTAGAATTGTGTACCCCATATAGGCTAACCCACTGTAGCCTAACAAACCCAACATATATAATGTTTGACAATGGTGCCATTTCAGCCCATTCTATGCTTGCAATATAGTAAGTTGTTCTTATTTTTGTAGAGTGAAGGTTGCTAGTAAATTGATTAGGATTCGGGTTCTTTAACAGGAATGGTGTTTATGACTGTGGACGGGAACAGTCGTGTGGAACTGATTGTGTTACGATGCGACGCGATCCAGGGCGTGGTGTGTTATGTGCAAAATGGGGTCAATCTGTCGTGAGTTCGTTTAGCAGGCTCGAAGAGGTTCAAGAGGCTGAACTGGAAAGCTGCAAACAGAGGTCCAAGATTTGAGAAACGTGTTTCGTATCTCGTGCATTCACGAACTTGAAGATGCCCCAATACTGATGTTCAGTAACCATTTTCGCAAAGGCGGGTCGGCTGCACTAAGGTCGAGAATTTCGCCCAAGTCCTTGGTTGCGCATTATTTTCGCGTGCCTTACTTGGCACCGCCACATGGTACCTTTCGTAACTAATTGACCACGCTCGTTCGAGCAAATGTCACGCGACTGAGCCCGAGTTCAACACCTTTATGTTGCTTGGTACGGTCATTAAAAACAGAGGACCTTCGTACACATTATATACACTTGTAGGGTAACCTGCTTCACGGTCCAACACTTGGACCACGCATGCATATGATGCACCACGCCCTCAGCGGCTCCTACAAACAGGGAGTCTTAGTATGCAAAATGGTCTCACATCAAAATCAGCTGAAAGGTTCCTCGCGCTTCCCGCTCCATCTCACTTCCCCGCAACCACTATGAACGACGTACGTCACCTTCCATCCTGTAGTGTCAGGGAGCAGCCGTTTAAAGTTCGCTTACTTCAATCGGAAGTTTCTGCCTCCCTTCGCGGCGTAGCGAGCAAGCCCGGCGATGTGTGGCGCGATGCGCGCCGTGGAGTTCGGAGCGGGCTGGGAGGGGAAGCGTGCACTCCGAGGCTAGGTGGCGGAGACCTGGCCGGCGGAAGGATCACGATGTGCGGTCAAAGAATCGAAGCGATTCGTCCTAGCGAGGCCATCTTGGCGGGTTATACGAAAGGCGTGGCGAGCAAGGGCGGCACGATTGAGGAGCGCCTTCAGGCGCACGCTGCCCGACTACTCCCCGCGCACCATCTAGCCTCCCCCTCCACCTCCCCCTCCCTCTCCCCACTCACCTGCTCGCCGCTGCCCCTCGCCTCGCTCTCCCTTCCCTGCACGACAACTCCCCCGCTCTGCCCTCCCCGCAGCAGTGGCGCCCGCCGCATCTCTGCGGAATGCCACACAGGCGCCGCGGCGGCGGCCCCCCAGGCAACACATCCCCCGCGCGGACAGTAGACAGCTGCGAAGCCGCACCCGGCGGATCCGTCGGCGGCGGAGGCGGGGGCGGAAAGCCCGAGGAGGAGCGTGTGCTGATCAGCGAGATCGTGATTCACGACAAAGACGGCGGCGAGGTGGAGGACGAGGAGCTGTTGAAGGTGGCGGCGGGCATACTCAAGGTGTCCAACGCTAACGTGGTGCTCACCACGCAAGAGGAGCAGGAGGACGTGCATCGGATTATTGACACGGGGTACTTCGCTAGCTGCCTGCAACTGCTGAGGACACCCGAGATTGTGTGCGGCTCATTTTCCAGGTGAGTGGGTGGGTGATCCCACATGGAGCCATGCAGCGGGGGGGGGGGGGGGGGGGGGGGGGGGGGTGTGGCGGGCAGCAGACATATGAGGTGCAGAAGGGGGGACGTGCACCGCATCATCGACACGGGGTACTTCGCTAGCTGCCTGCCCACCGCGGAGAACACGCGGGACAACGTGCGGCTCATCTTCCGGTGGGTTGGTAAAGGAAGAGGGTGTTGGGTTATGGGTGGGAGGGTTTGTGGATAGTTGGGTGGGTGGACAATCACACATGGACCCATCAAGCAGGGTTCCGGCGTGCATGCATGGGTGGGCAGGTGGTTGGATGGAGCAGCAGGGTGGTGGTGGCAAACTAAAGTAGAGAAGAGGAGTCGTTGATGCGTGCGAGGTACGTGGGGTGTGCGAGGCACGTGGGGCATGCATGGACCCACGTGAGGCGTGCATGGACCCACGTGAGGCGTGCATGGACTCACGTGAGGCGTGCATGGACCCACGTGCACGTGCCTCATGTGCGTCACAGCACACTGTCAGCAGCGAGTGTGCTGTTGGCGCTGCTTCTCATCAATCCGTGCAACCCCATCCCCCCACCCACTTCGCACTCTACTCCACTCTTGACTTACCATTCACCGTGTCACCAATAACCTACCTTACCATACCATTCCGTACCAAATCGTATCATGGCGAATCAAGAGATGAAGGGGCTTATGTGCGTGGGGGGCAATGTGCTGCCGACACGCGTCATTGAGGATGCCTTCCGAGACAAGTATGGTACGCCCCTACCCTGCGCACTCACATGCGCACATGTTGACCCCCCCCCTCTCCCAACTTGACCCCGATAGGAGTCAAACATCAGAAGCGTACGGCTCCAGTTTATACCAAGGTTGGGAGTGCACGAATGGGAGGAGAACGTGCGACACCCAGTCCTGCACAAGGGTCGATTCCATCCACCCACGCTCATGTGCACGGACTAGGATGTTTGCACAGATGCACAACTAACAAGAGTTATTCCTGCTTTGTGGCAAGCAAAATACATGTAGATTGTGTAGGTGGTTGTGGTATTTTGCTCTAGCTGGTTGTGGGCTAAGGGCTTGGCCAAAATATGATTGCTAGATTTGTTGTGAGCTGGATCTGACCTCACACCTAACAAAGCACCAACAAACTTTTGCTACCCACTACAACACCTTTGGTGTTGTTAGTTTGGCATTTTGGGTTGTTGTGGATTGTTCTAGGGCGAGGGTTGAGATGGTAGTGTTTGTTAAACTCGACACTTTTCAGATCTGAACGCTTGCTATAGCCATTTCTATTACTAATCCATGGCTGCCAAGTAATTCCGCCAGGATACCCCATTGCACTTAAATCGCGATAGCGATCGGCCTAGATCTTGGTGGAAGGCATGCTTTACTATTCTGGAAAGTAGAGATTAAGAGCATTCCAACGCGTACCTGCTCATATTTTTAGGTTACGTGAGCTGCACGCAATGGTTTGCCGAAGTCGGATGACTTACTTACTTCGCACTCCAAATTCTTGCCCTTCCCATCAATACAGAATGAATTGAAGACTTACTTGGCGAAATTCAAACGTTGGGTAACATTTTCCTTTTGAAAATCACCATTGGGGTTAGTTTGTTGCCGTGCCTAACACACCAATCATAGTTATTCTTGTTGGAGTAGGCTAGAGCTCGCTCTGGCATTTATCATGGTGTTCTTTTATTATTTCGCCATTTTTAGAGCGAGTTACACTTTTGGTTCAGTTTAGGTTCATTTCTTAGTTTCTAGCACAAACTGAACACACCTTAAGTTCAATTAGGGTTTCCTATATTTGTACCTCGACACTCATGTTAGTAAACCACTTCAACCTTTCTCTGTAGCCATGGCTCCTACCACTATCTTAACAATTCTTTCCTTCTTGTATCCTGCGTTGCGGATGTGGACTGTCTTTTCACTGCGGTGGTGCAACGTCCTCTCCCGTGGCATCTCTAAGAACACGGGAGTTTGACCCGCGTTTATAACGTTCCACGGATCAATCCAGTATGTGCGACTTGCTTTTGGACAAACGCCCAAAAGTTTTCACACTTGCCCGTGCAGTCTGCACAAAGAGCACGAGATCATTAGCATGGCACTCTCAGATTTTCACTGAAATAAACAACATCAGCTTGCCTTTCGCAAGTCGCTGACCGACTTTCATCCTCATACGCATGTGAGGCCCTAATGAGAACAGCAGCGCATGCACCAGCAAATAGATGCTCGGCAACGACGTCTGAATGATGCCTCTTCATTTATCCGGCAATCCAAGTCTGCAGAATGGTAGGGCCATGCGACCTGAAGGAGATAATTTTTCAATGCACAATTAGTTCTATTGTAGGAAATTTTGCATGGCGACCGTCGCCGACAAGGCACCTGCGACAGCCTGCAGCGCTCTTCATCTGCGATGTTGGTGAGGCGAGCGTGCTACGAACAATGCGCTGCTCGGTCGTTTTTCGCTCCACGAACGCAAGTTTCTCGACCACCATTCGGGTCGTGCGTTGGTGTTTTAAGGGCCGGTGGTGCGGTGATGGTAGTTTGGCTTCACAATTACATTGGGGAGTATTCAGGTAATGAACGAGGCCATTGAGAAAGCGGGGAAGATGATAACTAGTAGCAGTGTTAGAGGGCAATGGCGAGAGCAAGGTTCTGCCTTCAAGATCATCAGAATCTACTTGCTTGAAGAAACAAAGCAATGGAGGAATCAAATCCAGTGGCGTGGGAGACGCTACAGGCGCGAGAGGTGCAGAGGGTGCTGATGGCGCTGGCGATGCAGTCAAAACCGGCGATGCTATAACGAAAGGGATCACGCGGGCTCCCCAGTTCACCCCAGTTAACCTCTCTGTACTTGTTTTACATCGTGGCGGCCACTGAAAGGGGAGACGCATGGATGCTATGGACGGAGGCCGCCCAAATGAGTTGAGAAATGATAGTGACCAGCCGAAACTACAAACTCTGAGCATGGGCAAGGGAAGGATGAGGAGAAGAAGGTCAACACGACCCATGAACCACAGGCACATCTCGCGACGCAGATAGGATGAACACGATGACTGTGCATGGGAGGTGACATTTTGATGATGTCATCAGATGTGCCAGCACGCGTCGTAGAGCACGTTCAAGATGGACAGTGAGGCACCATTGCTGGCTTAGCGTAAGAACGTAAAAACACAGTTTTGCCAAATAAAGGTTCAATATCATAGACAGAAATCACTACTGTATGATGTTTTATAAGTGTTGAGGGGTCAAACCTATTCCATTTTTTATCATGTTCATCCTGGCCTTTTTTAAATTCCCTAAAGTTCAAGAACCAGTGGTGCTCACGCAGTTGTCGTGGAAGTACTAGCTAAACTATATTTATGTGTTTGTATTTATTGTATCAAACAGGGCTAGGCTTTAAAAAGTGCGAAACTTAGCATTTGTGTACTTTCGACTTTACTAAGGGCGTGTTACATTTTCGTTTTGATTTTTTTTTTTTTTTACCGTACGGTTTGGACGAATACGACCCTGAAACGTATTGAAAATCACAGGTTAAACCACTTTCAGGGCTTGTTCGTAGTTTTGACACTAGTGTCATTTTGGAATTTTGACACGAGCGGACATTGTTGGTTGGTGTAAAATTTTTGGTCAGTGTCAGCATGCCGAAATTATCGGATAACCCGTTCGTACGGAGTCGCAACGCATAACATCCAACCAAAACCATTGCATCGACACCTCTCACGATTTTCTCTCACTCAATCTAAATTCTGCAAAACCTGACTCTGCGATGGTGCACAAATCTCCACCCAACACGTGGGTGTTGGGTTGCACTATGGGGTTGCGCTGACTGTTCGGCACGTTCATCGCACAATAAGAGAGATTTCGTGTCTCACCAATGAGGCTTCGTCACACATTTCCATGGGCGCGACTCTAGTTGACCCAGGTGCTACAGTGATTGACACCAAGAAGTGGGCCGACTCAGTGTCTTTTGTAAAACCTATCCAAAACTCGAGTTTTGAGTTGAACTATGCACAGTTGAACCTAGGTCGACCTAGGCTCGACAATATGGGCAGTTGTAACCTGAGTCGCTGCTCCTCAACTCACAAGAATCCAAGGACACACGAAAGTTCAACTATCGAAGTTGAACTTTCCCAAGGCGCGGTCAACCTACGTAGGTTACTCTGTTTTCCACGCATTTGTGGCGACGCCGGAACACTTTTTCAGAAGCCGTTTGTGCGCGCGAATTGTGCGCCTAATTCGCAGTTACCTCGTGCATTGTCATGAGGACACACGAATGAATTTTATTGCACGCATGGTTTGGGGTAAAAATTCAACCCAGGTTTAGTGTACTACTTCATCTACAATGTTGTACTAGGACACAAGATGCGCAAGCGAAACAATTAGCGAGATTTGCGAAGAAGTTTACCAGCAAAAGTTCAACCAAATTTCCGAACTTCTACACCAAAAGACACGCGCCCTAAGCAGTTGGTGTCTGTTACGGGTGCAATGGATCGAGATAGCGAGGATTGCACTAGAGTGTCAAACGAGTACAAAGATGTGAGCGAAGGCATGAGCGAACATTTGTATGCGAACATGCAAATGGTAACGCGGCGCGTGTGAGCTAGCTAGTGCTACGCTGGCAATGAGGCTCGGGCTAGTCCCGAAGCGTAGGCCGACACGGCCGGGCCAGCAGTGCGAGGTTTGGTAAAACAGTGCGCGCGAAGTGGCGAAGTCCCGTTAGCAGTAACGGGCGAACAAACGGCAGTGTTGTACGCGATGTAGCCGGACTCCGTAAGGGATGCCAAGAAAATTCCTTACACTACCCCCCCCCTCAAGAAGCCCCCTCCGCTACGCGAGTGCGTGTATATCGCGGAATCCCCGGCTCCTCAGGTACACTTGCAGGGCAGGGTGGTTTTCGATGTTGGCCAGGGGCACCCAGCTATCCTCAGTTGGCGTGCGGTCCTTCCAGCGAACGAGGAATTCAATCCTCTTGATTCCCGTGGGGTGGCG